GCTTCAGTGTTGTGATAATTTGAGTGAAAGTGTGCCCATTGAGGAGCAAACAAAATCTGAGTCATTCACAGAGGATGGCTTTTCTACAGAGTGTGAGTATTCTGTGCCTGCTGACGAACCAGAAAAGGTGCAGTCTTGTAAATCATCCAGCAAACCTGCTGTGGCATCATCTTTGGTCAACAAACAAAAAGAATCTACGGCCAAGCAAGTTATCAGAGAAGATGAAAATTCCATTATTGAGATGAAGCGGATTTTAGGTAGTAACAATCACTATGAAGCACTTGAGTTTCCTCGCAACAAGAAAGTTGACTCTATTTTGTTGAGGAAGGAATACCGGAAAAAGGTAAGGTGCTCTAATTGCGCGAAGTTACTATTTGCTCTTTGTTGCCTCTTTCTTTTACTTCTTGCTGGATGTATACTGATATGGCACACTGTAGTAGAATTAAAAGTGCAACACTAAAATTCATTTGTAGGAATAAAATAATGATTTATATGCGAATGAGTGAAGAGTCTTAGAAGAGGCAGACAGGGAGTTGTTGTTCATGTACATTGTTCGATCATCATTTCTTTGCTTTGTTGATTTTAGATCCCTTGTCTCATCAGCAATTCTTTCTTGTCTTTTTTTTATTTTTCTGGGATATTCTGCACAGGCAATGCTTGTTCATCCTGACAAAAATATGGGAAGTACACTTGCAAGTGAATCCTTTAAGAAGCTTCAGTGCGCCTATGAGGTTATTATTGAGCGTGAAATTTGGTATCAAAGATAAAAAATTTTATTGGTTGGTTTTCCTTGCTGCTCACTCATGGCCATTATGTGCAGGTTCTTTCTGATGCTGTGAAGAAGAGGGACTATGATGAACAACTTAAAAAGGAAGAATCGAAGAGTGTCATACAGAGATCATCTAGCACTTCTCGTCAGGTATAAAGTTTTTGTAATCTTCCCTATGCCTTTTAGAGTTTTTATTTTTATTTATTTGTATAGTTTTTGTGGGAACTGAACAGTCTGAAGTTATCTACAAAAGAAACGGCAAAATAAGAACATATCGACTATAGATGAGATAAAGATGAATGATTTATAAGTGCTATTAGTAAGGCCATACGCTGTTGATGCTACTTTCTCTTTGCTGTAAAATCTATACTTGCTGAGCTCTAGACTTTGGCTTCATTTACTGTCTGTTTGGTCCGTGTCTTGGAGGCAGAGGGGATCCAAGCAATTAGTTTTGAATGCCTACAAATTAAGTCGGAGACACAGTAACCCACGTAATGAGACACATACAGAAGGACACTTACTGTTATTATTCATTTCAAGGGTGACTCTTAGGAGCAGCTTCCTGGTTGATTTTTTATGCAGCCAGCTAATTAAACTATAGCAGCTTTTTAATTTTTGCATTTGCAAACTTCAATCTCGTATCACCAAACAATATAATTAGTGAAAAGCATTCTAATCATGTTTGGCAATTAGCAGGATAGCTCTGATTACTGCTTGGAAGAGTCAAGACGTATACAGTGCACAAAATGTGGCAATTCACACATTTGGGTGTGCACAAATAGGACTAAGGCCAAGGCCAGATGGTGCCAGGTTGGGCTGTTACAAGCAATAAATATTATGATCCTTTTGTTTCTTGTACATGTATAAAATGGTAGTATTTTGTATGCAGGATTGCTGTCAATATCATCAAGCCAAAGATGGCGATGGATGGGTGGAGTACAAAGGATCATTGATATTTGATCAGCCTCGAAAGGTGTTTATTTATCATCTAAGGACAACTTTTATCTCCTGTACTTTAAATCTGATCCGAAGATAACATTTTGATAGTCTTTTTTTTTGGCCTAACTGTTAAAAGCAACAATTTTTGCTAAGCTTGGCATGTGGTTTCTTGATCTTTCAGGTGGAAATACCGCGAGCTTTTGTCTGTGCTGAGAGCAAGATCTTTGATGTATCGGAATGGGCCATATGTCAGGTCAGCGTCTAGTTTTACATGCATGTATATAAATCCAGGCTGAAACATCATATTCATATGTTCGTCCTTTGTAATGTTTCAGTTTCTACTATTAAATTTTTTCCATTTTCCAGACACAGCTCATCTCAAATGAACTTCCAGTTTTAAATGGTAGTGTACTCTTAGTGGTGCAACATAACCTTAAAAAAAACACACACAATAGAAATTTTTGTAAGATCCAATCTATATGTTTCTTACTTAGTTTAAGGCTTGACTGCTGATTTCTGTATATTCCTGTATTATTGTGTAATGCAATTACCTTAAATGTTAAGATTACAGTGATATTGCATTATGAATAGATAAAAAGCATTATATGACATACAGGGAATGGCTTGTAGACCCAATACACATCGGCCAAGCTTCCATGTCAACATGGTTGGTTTGGACAAGTCATCTCAGAGATCCAATTCTAGCAGATACCCATGGGATCTGGATGCCGAGGTGATGGACGAAGATGAAGATTTTGAGCTGTGGCTTCAACAAGCCCTGGCTTCTGGACTATTTTGTGAAACTTCCAAGCGCAGAAAGAGCTGGAGTCCCTTTAAGTTGCATCACAGAAAGAAAAGTTGGCGAAGATCATCATGAATGGGAGCTCTAAAATTGTTATTAACCCCTAACCTCCTGCAACAATGGCCAAGCACCACCAGCAACAATCTCCACCTTCAGTGCTAGATTTAGGAGTTAGAATGGGAGTAGGATATTGCAGGTATTTTAATTGCAGTGCAGGGAGCTGCCAGAGAATCTTAGTGGAGAAGATGACAACAGCTGTTGGTGGCAAGGAAAAGTCTGAACAACTTGTTTTGCAGGATCATTTATGTAAATAATTGAGAACTTTGTTGCGGGATTTCTTCTGTTGGAGATGTCAGTTTTGGGAAGATCCAATTGAGCTGACAAGGAATTGATTCCAAAGGGCAAAATGAAAGGGATGCTTTCTTTGTACGTGTAAATGCAACCTTGTAGCTTTGTACACTGCCAGTGAAATAAAAACATGAAAAAAGAAAAGAAAGTTGACCGAGATTAATCTCAAACTGGGATAGTTGCATTTTAACTACGTTTGAGATTTGTCATATATCTCTCTTATCTCAAAGGTGCCTAGGCACTCACTGATCTGCTCACAGAAAATTACTGTATTTGGTCAGCTTGCAAAAAGCTGCGATTTCGTATTCTTACTGTCTCCGTGTAATGCTAATAGATTTGCATTTCTAAGCTTTTGCAATAAAATTTGTGCAGTGGTTTGCTTCTTTGGCTATACTTTTCAAAAAAAAAAAAAATAATTGCAATCTTTAAGTAACCTGTGTATTTGCTGGCTCTTGAAACAGCACAAGGATGAAGGTTTTGCTTCTTACAAGAACGTATATTTATATTCAAACAGGCAACACAAAATGGAATGTAAAGGTCAAAAGTGATTGCAGGTAGGAAAAGATCACAGAGGCAGCATTCGTGGAGTGAGTCCTTCTAAGCTTCTCAAGGGATGGAGCAAACGCCTAGTTTTTAACGTTGAACAACTTGTGGTTTTACGTTAATCTCGTTACAAGACAATGGTACCCTTGGAATGCTGGCCATGCTTTAGCATATTAGCGCTTGCGTCGTTGCATGGTTTCAGTGACAGAAACGCTTAGAAGGGGTCTATCTGTGAATATTCACTCGTATAGTTTAGGTGACCGCCGGGCATCGATAGTTACTGAATAATCTGGCAAACAGGCAAAGGTCATACCTACCTGTACAAGTCTGGTTACCGCTAGTTGACAGTAGTTTTTTTTTCAGTCTGTCATCAACCCTCTATGGGGTATGGTGGCTAAAGTTGATTGGCGATCTTCGATATCTCCGGAGGTTGTTTAACGAACGACTCCGCGTCCAACCAACAAGAACCATCATCTAACTACAGCAATTCCATGCAAACCACTTGAATGCATGCTACGCTCTCAAATTCAAGATTAAGCTGCTCGGACAATATTATTGTTATCCTATAGCGAATATGGTCATCTAACAAAAACGATTGACTGCCACGTACTGAATTTTCTAAACAACTAATTGAAGTCATAATCAAGCTCCACATATGTTTAGTATGCACGGGAACCCCTCTATATATTCGTGAACCCAATTGTCTTGCTACATCATCCATCAAAGTTGCATATATTGCATCCCTGAATAAGTTCTTCAAGGCTCCATTAGAAATACAGGCAACAATGGCAAGGATATACTCTTGCATTTTCGTGCTTGCTGTTTTGCTCTTCTCTGGCGGCCAAAGCTCCGAGGCTGCTCGTCAACTGCTGCAGACAACACCAGCAATTCCAGGTCTACCCGCTATACCATCACTTCCCACCATCCCAATACCAGGTTCAATTCCATCACTCCCATCCATCCCCAACCAACCTTCCATTCCAACAATCCCCGCTGTTGTCCCTAAGGTTTCACTGCCACCGCTGCCTTCTTCAATCCCAAGTACTCTCCCAAAGACTCCTTCCATTCCCGGCTTCCCATTTCCATCTCCACCACCTTCAAAGTAAGCTGTGGCAAGAACATTTCATCCTGGTTGACGTGCAGAATTGTAGCATTCATTTGTTTTCGAAAAATATATTGCCGGAGAAAGAGTCACTTATATTGTTGTCCTTTACCTTTTGTTTGTGGGCAATAAACTTAAGTGGTTGTGCACTGGTCCTATTAATCGTCTTTTATGTTTTCTCTGTGTTCTCTCGTCATTATGGTTCAGTGATGTCCATGATTTTATTGTGGTTTGCCATTGTGCTGCCTTTTCTTCCTAATACATGCCTATGACAGTTTCATAATTTTAGCTTTATGCATTTTGATTCCTTTACATTTACCCGAAGTCATTCAACTTGTATACACCGAGTGCATTAAGCTTGTCTAACTTTACACATTTAAAACTGAGCATAACTTTGCTTAGAGAACTAATGAGCCAAAGTGATTCCAAGTCAACTTCGAAATGAAATCATTAAATGGGTAGACGCTAAACATGGTCCTATTCACACGGATCAAAGTTATCTGAACAGGCTTTCAATAAAAAGATCCTAGAAACTTATCACAGACAAGTGCTTGTATCAAAACTTATCCTGCTCTATAGCCAGTCACAAATCTCTTGATCCCCGCAAAATCTGATACAACTTTAACATCACAGAATCTCCCTTCTGATTGACTTCCTATGCAGTCCACGAGAAAGTTGCTCTGTTTTTCACCATTTGTCTGCAGAACAGCAACAAGGTTAAGGGTCAGCAACGAACAACATGACTGTTAAGTGTAGCAGACAAAAGTTCTGGACAAGACATGTGTACATCGTGTATCATTAGGATCCATACTGACTTGTATTCTCCACTCAAATAGTTTATTAGACAATGCCACAAGAGGAAACAGCATTCAGGAACTTCCAGACATGATAACCATCAAAATTATTTGTAAATTCTTTTCACTCTTTCATACTCCTCAGGTAAGGATACATTTCCTACTGCAGGTATTAAGTTGCGTCCGATATAAAAGTTCTTGAAACAGGTGTCTCACAGCAAGCCATGTTAGAGAAAACAAATCTGGAAATCAGAGCAGAGAAGCAACAAATGGTAGTTCAAAGGATTGCAATAACCCCTTCAAAATGAGTCTGTCTTCCTGAAATTAGCAAGAGCATTGGATTCGTCATGAGTCTCAAATGAAAGTTATAAGAATCTGCATTTTCCATTCCAAAGGAGAAACCTCAAGACCTCGCACAGACATTGAGCACTCCATGATCCCAAATAAGCAAGCCCTTCTAGTTCTCATCCTGCCGCAGGTGCCTATAGGAAATCTAAGCCACATTCCTAACTGGTAACCAGGCATTTCAGGCAAATATGAGTTGCAACAAGATGAACCTATGCCAATTAACCACACCTACTTGTCTGAATGGATTCAATCCCCTAGTAGACCGATTAAAACACCTAACACAGATATATAACAACTATCTGTCTGAAAGACGTCAAAAAAAAAAAAAAGAGTTGTCCAGTAGCAATAAGTGGACGCATTCATGAGGCACACAGTAGTAAAAGAGAAGAATGCAACTAATAACTAGAAAGTCTGTTAAAGTGCATGTACAGGCAAAGACAGACTAAGCACGCGGAAAGAGAACTGGTAGACAAGTCAATGACCATGAGGCCTCTGCTCCGTACGAGTACAACAGGAAAGTGCAAAATTTGCTGATATCAGAGCATGGTAATTCTAAGACGCAAAGGATGAGAATTGGTACCTCAAAAGCGAAAAATCCACCAGGTCTTAGCATAGAAGCAGCGCCATTACATATATGGAGAAGGTCATCCATGCCATCAGCACCACCATCAAGCGCAAGTTTTGGTTCGTGTCTACCTACTTCAGCTTGTAGTCGTCCAATATCTTCACTGGGAATATATGGAGGATTACTAACAATTCCGGCAAATTTTCCTTCATCATCCTTCAGAGGTTCAAACCAAGATCCTTGCTTTATTGCAACTCTATCCTGCAAAGAGTACCTCTGCACATTATAAGAAGCAACTGCCACAGAAACAGGGCTTAAATCAGTGGCAATGACTCCTCCACAAGAACCCAAAATTCTCCCAATCCCAACCGCAAGCGCTCCGCTCCCGGTCCCCAAATCAGCCCACAACCCTTCCCTCAACACCTCGTTCTCTTTTGTCACATCACTGACAAAGTCCACAATCAGCTCAGTCTCAGGCCTTGGAATCAAAACCCCTTCTTGAACACTCAAAACCAAATCCCTCCAATGCTCACACCCAACCAAATACTGGAATGGCCTTCTCCCCTCAATCCTTTGCTTCCACAGCATATAGAGATCATCCAAACATGCCCTCAATGGCACCACTAAGCTATCATCGCTATTATCCGATAGAAGTGCAATGGACTCCTCGAGCGAATCCTCAATGAGCCAGTTGAGCTCCCTGTGCAAGAGGGCCGAGTCGGGGCCGTTGTCTAGGTCCAAGAATTTTGTCCCAACCGAGGAGGCTAAGCCTCTTGCCCAGAGATGCCATTTTTTGAGGTCTGATAAGGTGGCCCTGTAATCTGCCGGGTTGAGGAAGAGGGGAGTCTGAAGCTTAACCGGAGTGGGTGCAGATGAAATATTGGAAAACTTGAGGGGTTGATTTGGAAGAATGGGTTTCAATCTGGAGGACAGAGACGCCCGCACGGAGCTCACCCTCATCTTCTTCCGCTGCGCATAGGCGCGCACGCCCGCCCGGCCGGCCGGTCGTATTCAGCTCCAGCATCGGTCGATAATTGGGCCAGCCCATACTTCATGAGACGAAACTATTGACAGCGTACTTGGGCTTTGTTAGATAGAGGCCTAATTACTGAACAGCAATCATCAACCCATGCAATAGCCAATGTTTGTTGTGCGTTGGCGGTGAAAATAAATTCCCAAACCTATTGCAGCGGTTGCAGCAGCGCTAGCTAGTTTTTTCCGCCTCATCCATGATGCCACTGCCATAATATCTATATATTAATTGTTTGCTGTTGGCTGTCTTCTCTTCTAGTACTGTATAATTTTTGCTCACTTCACTGAAAACGACGACGGTTACAAATATTCATCAAAATCCTTCTTAAGACTATTTCAACTGTTTAGTTTCTATTATAAGCCACATGCCCAACTTCGACCTAATTAGATTACGATTTTTGAGGCGTGGGAGCAGCAGTTGACAGAAACATGAAAATTTTTTTTTTTTTTTTTAAAAAAATTTTATTGCCCCAAATCATGTCATAATTCGTCGGTTATTGATAGTTTTTTGTGGTTAAGAATAAAACTTGAGTTGGTCGGTCACCACAAGCTTATTGATGCGGCGGTGCTTGTGTATTAATTATCTCATGAAGATCTCAATAGTGTTTGTCACATCTTTCTTGCCAGTTTCTCATCTTAACTCTCAATGTAATTAGCCTGGTAATTGATTATACTATTGTATTTTTAGTTTTTCACTCATGTTCGTTTCTTTTTACTCAAAAAATGAAAATAAATAGAAATATACACAACTACAATTAGTCTATCTAGGTGAAATCAAATAGAAATGTATTACATACTATTCATATTGTTCAGGTGATATCAAATAGATATATACATAGATTTAAAAAAAAAAATTATTTGTACACATGATCAATCAATGAGAAATGAAAAAATTCATTTTGTGAAATATAAAGGATTAAAAATTTTATTTTATAAAATATGGACTACGTTTTAAACGATTTTCCCTGTTAGTATTATCTTATCATTTCTCTCCAGTCAGCAACTGATGAATGGTCTTGAATCTCGATTACCTGCCACGGGACAAGGCACGCAAGCAACGACCCTATTTATTTATTTATATATTTATATATTGGCGGTCGTGGGAAAACCAGGATTTGTAGTGCTCTTTATTTTGTGCAAACTTCTTTGCACAAAATGGTGTGTTATGCACAGAATTAACGACGATAGAATCCTTGCATGCTGGAGAAGGAGCTCAGGTGTTATATTTTTAAATAAACAAGTGAGATTAAACCGGCAAAGTATCTTTTTGTAATTGTGTACTTTAAAATATACTAAACTAATTGTAATTGTGTACTTTTTGATATAAACAACTGGAGCCCATCCGTTCACTCGCCTAGAAGAGCAACAACTTATACTGCTCTACAGAAATTGCGAATTCTTCAATTAATGTCAGCTGAAACAAGAAACATTTTGTTGAGATATAGTAGTAGACTTAGAGGTGCTATCGAGCCGAGTCGAGCTCGAGTTTTGAAATAAATTTATAATTTTTTTTAAAATATAAAATATAAAATATAATATAAATAAAATATAAAAGTTCGATTAAGCTCGACGAGCACTCGAGTATTTATTTCTTGAGCTCGAACTCGACTCGTTAAATTTAACGAGCAGAGGTCGAGCTCAATTTTACCGAGCTCGAGTCAAGCTTTTGATCAAGTTGATCGCGAGCAGCTTGACTTGCTAGCACCCCTAGTAGTCGCGGCTTTGTTTGGATTGTGAATTATTTGTCAAATTATATCTGTTTACATCATCATTACAATTTCCAACGCACCTTTTTATCTTCTCAATTACCTTTTTATCTCACATACATCACATCATAAAAAGTGCTACAGTAAAAATATCTCAAATAATTCACAATCCAAACAAACCTTTCCACGACGTTGCGGGTTTGTGGGGTTTCTATGTGAGAGTTTCTTGTCCGAAGTCGAAGAGATCATATTTAAAAAAAAAAAAAGAAAAAGAAAAAGAAAAATCATTCCTAGAGCGTAGAGTAATGATGAATATGGATGGGTTTGGCTGAGCATTGGATTCCGTCGTCGTTTTCGGGTGGGGAAGTGTGGGATCTTGGATACAAGTGAGGTGGGCGTTGGCGGATCATTTATTTTTGACTCCCCACCCAGCTGTTTAGTTTCACGGAACATGAAATGCACCCAATTAATTCAACCCTAATTGGATAGAGCACACTACAAATGAGAAGTTGTATGGTCAGTTGTTTGTTCACATCTGTTTTTTTTTTTTTTTTTAAAATTTCTTTTTCGTACAGGTGGTGCAGGGAAGGATATGATTTAAGAAGTAGAGAGGGGAAAAGGAAGTAATCCGTTGTCCACATGCTAATTTTCATAGAATAAAATAATTTAGAGTATATTATACCCTCATGATTTATTCACTATCGCAGCCGAATACTACTTGACATATATGTAACATTTGGATGAAATTCAAATTTAAATTAGTTATCATGTATTCAACAGTGATAATATGTATATTATTAGTACATAGAAGATTATCTTACAAGGATTTTTTCCCGAATAAATGTAGAAAAAGTGAATATTTAATATCATGCTAGTGAATTTGCTTGGACGAAAATTATTTTATCAAAATTTATTTGCTTGCATCATCAACATATTTTTTAACCTCGCATAAATCACATTAAAAAATTGATACGCTTTTTTTTTTTAAAAAAAAATCATCTCAGATAATCTACTATCTAAGCACACTCGTTTAACTCTGGGTAAATCATTAATCACATCCCAAAATTTAATGGGGCGTATTAATTTATTGCATGGTGGAAACGAAATTAAAGTGGCTAAATAAATAGAGGAACAAAAAGTGTTAATAATCTAACTTCAGTAATTTCGATTGTTGAAAAAAAAATAAACAGAGGAACAAGTGGGGACACAAACAAAGGTGGTTGGGATCATTTACATCTTTTCCAACAAGTAGATGAAAAACATCACCATTCACCACCTCACAAGCCACAACGACAAAACTAAGGCTAAAGCAACGGTTGACCCATGCAGCCCCTCCTCCTTCAATCTCCCCTTCATGCGCGGAAAGACTTTAGTCACACAACAACGTAAATATTTATATATTATCACGTGTAGCCCCGCTGACAAGGGCCCCCCGCTATAAATTACTAGTAGTAGTAGTACAATAAAGAAAGGCGCAGTAATAAAATTACAATTACATCCCTAAATTTATTTCTTCTTTATAACTATAGGGATCCCTTTTAATTGCAATTGCCGCTTCTCAAACTTGGTATGGTATGCATTGCATAAAAACGTCATCGTGAAATGAAATGAGCCCGAGTTCATTATATGACGTATGAAGAAGAGGAGGCCATTTTTATAGCAGAAAACTTCAAGACAGTAGTTATTGGTCCTTAGAGAGCAAGAAATGAATTAAATCGAAGTTGAATTGAGCTAGAACATGCTCGCTCCTTCAAAATTTGGTTCAATCAATCAAACTAAGCGAAGACTAAATTTCAATGTAGTGGTAACTAGACAAGTTTAACTCAAACATTGCAAAGGTGATACACTAAACATATTATTGAATCCAGTCAAAAGAGAAAAGAGACTGAGTAGGTAAATCTCAAATAGAACCTTAAAAGTGGAGACCAATAGAAGAACGTCCCCCTCCTCCTCTTTCGAAAAAAATAAAAAAATAAAAATGCACACACACACACACACACATCAGATCAATTTACCTAGTTGACGTTGGTATGAATTAAAAATCATGCTAGTAATAATTATTGTAGTGATAGGAAAGTCTTCGTAATTGACTAAAAGCTCTGGGAACCACTGGGTTTGGCTCATTGGCCACCAAGTGTGACTTAAGTCCCTTTTCGGACTGTAAGTGAGGGTTCAAATTTCACCTGCAGTGAAAAGAAATTCAAAGATGGTGCTAGAGCACTCCTTTGATGATTTAGTAAGATCTGCGTGCCTGCTAGTTCCTAATAAATAGGTTATATAACATTTCTCGTCTTAATAAAAAAAAAAAAAAAAGACTAAAAGCTCTGGGAGATCGGCGTAATTAATCCTTTTTATTTATATTACTAGTAATCACAAATCGAGCTGCAGTAGTTCAAACTGTAAAGAAGATCGGAGACAGAACCACACGCGCCCCGCTCACCCACACACACGCATAGTTGTCAAAATCGCGATCCGGATCGTAGGATCGTACGATCCTACGATCCGGATAACCAAAATCGATCCGGATCGTATGCAGAGTCGCAAATCATATTAATTTTTTGCAGGATCGCATAGAATCGTAGCAGGATCGTGCAGGATCGTGCAGGATCGTGTAGGATCGTAGGATCGTAGGATCGGTAGGATCGTACGATCCTACAATTTTTTTGTAAATTTGTGAAATACGAAGCTTCATTTTGCAAATAAATGAAAATATTTGTGGTATATTTGTAATTTATCAAAGAATTGCAACCTTTAATTGCAATTAAGAGCTTTTGGTAGGATCTTACGATTCTACGATCCGATCCTACGATCCGATCCTGTGAAACTAAAATCGATCCTGCGTAGGATCCCGATTTTACAAACCTTGCACACACGAGGACGAGGGGCCATCTCCACTTTCAAATCGACCAAAGCTACAGAGTACAGAGCATCCTAAATTCCTCAACAATTTTAATTCAAGTTCAACAATAAACGCCACCCCGCTCTCACCGTTACCACTCCAATTACTCAACACACACTGACACACTATAACACGCCAAAAACAAAAATAAATCTGATTTGCAAAGCCAAAAAAAAAAGAGTCTTACTTTAGTAGTAGTAGTAGACTGACTACCAATGGGAAAATCCACACCTACTCAGCCCTCACCTGATCCTTGCAAATCCCACCTCCTCCTGCTTCCTTCCCCCCCTCTCTCTCTCGCGCCCGCCTCCTCCTTTATCTATCTGGCATCCCCTGTAGCTCATCATTTTTCTTTCCCTTTTTTTTTTTAATCCTTCTTTGATGACTAGATATTCCTCAATGTCAAATCTTTCAGGGTTTTCCAAACAGCTCTTATCACGCTTTATATGATCAATCAACAATAGAACTGCCCCTAAACAAAGGAGACATATTTATACATATATGTACGTTTATTTTTTCGTTATTTAGAAGAGAAAAGTAAAAATGGGAATTTGTTATTCATCAATCGGGAAAAAGAGTCGGGAGAGGGAGTGGAAGAGTAAGAATGATGATGCTGCCAAGATTGATTTGATGCTGAGGAAAGCTAACAGTGG